TGAAATCAACTCCCAAGCTAAAAAAGTCTCTCAGGTTGAGGCCAAAATACGAGGTCTGTTAGATTAGAAACCGGATTTTGGTCATAACTAGCCCACAATGCGTCCAAATTACGTTTTCTTGAGCTTTTCTGATAGCTGGAAATATACGTAAGAACGGTACGTTCACAAGTTTGAAAAATCCTAATGAGCTTCGTTGGTATGTGGCTTGAAGTAAGGCAACCTCAAGGGTGTTTTGCGATTTTTATGTTTCACCAAACTTGTATCTCTTTTTTCGGTCTTGCACTACATTTTTCAACCCACAAGGACGATTGGAGTTTTGTCTCCATATCGTAGCCGTACACTAAAATATTGTCACCGAAAATTATCCTATCAAAAAATGTAGGATCACTGTTAGAACGTTCAAGCAGCTAAAGGGAAATTGACGTTAGGTTGGATTTTCGTTCAACGGACAACAATCAAGGGGCAAGTGTACCTGAAACTCGATGCGTGTCTACATATTCTATCAAAATTGTATGTACAGAGCCTTCAGAAATATTACTCTGTTCAACAAGCTCGAAACGACCGTTTTCGAGCACTTTAGCCCGCATTTCTTCCACGTGACAAATGTCAGTTGCCGTTGAGGGTCGATTCCCATGCTCCTCATCTTTGACGAACTCCTGACCAGTTTTGAATCGTTTAACTCATTTAAAACAGTGGGAACATCTCATAAAATGATTATGGTAAACTTTACTTAGCGTATACCAAAAGTTTTGGTACAAGGTATACCGAGTTTAAAACAAAATTTAATGTTGAATCTTTGTTCTATCAGAGATCGCATTATGAAAATCGCAAAACGCACCTGACTTACTCGTATTCAAGATGACACAGAATAAACACTGATCAAAATAAACAAAATCTGTGAACGTAGCGTTCTAAAGTATATTTTCAGCTATCAGAAAAGCTCAAGAAAACGTAATTTGGACGCATTGTGGGCTAGTTATGACCAAAATCCGGTTTCTAATCTAACAGACCTCGTAGAGGGGATTTCCCACGCTATCCTGAGCGTCCACGTCTACATCAAGACAAACTCTCCATGCGAAGATAGGTAACAACAGGCCCGCCGCAAGGGGGGAGGGGGGATACTGGATCCCTGGTACCGGGGCCCATGTTACCCGTGGAAAACCACTACGAATTCACATGCAACCCTTGTTTCGTAAGAAAAGGTGAAAATTTTACCCTAAAAATTTTGCAAAAGGTGAATAGATTTTCAGAAACACGCTGGGGCACTGTGAAATTCTTATTAAATTTTCAAAGAAGTATACTTCTTGGAAAATTTCTATCTATTTTCAAAGAAGTATACTTCTTGGAAAATTTCTATCTATTTTCAAAATTTTCAGTACGGAGGGATATTTTTAGTAACTGCGTTTCATTTTCTTCCGTCGTCAGATGCTAAGAGCCTCCAGTCTGGGCATCCTCGACTTCAATGGCTCATGGCTCAACTCCCTTGCCATAGACAAACGAAGGGGGAGTCCAGGGGGGCATGGCACTCTTAGAACTGACAATAGTATCATATGCCCCCCCCCCCCCCCCGAAAAAAAAAAAAAATTCCAGATGTTTTGAATGCAACAATTCGCAAGTATTTTGTGCTGAATGTAGAAAAAAAACATAATTATTCCGCGGAAATTGATGGAACAATTCTTTATGGTACCTTCAAAATGCGTCCAATTAGTCGTATAAATTCTGAAATTTCTCGGGGGATGCCCCTCGGACCCCCCTCCATGCTTGGGGCCCGGACCTTAAAACTGGTACCAGGACCCCAGATGGGATGTGGCGAGCCTGCATGAAGGCTCTTTCCATTTAAATCTTCCGTCACATTCATACGGCGCAATGCAACAACTATTTGATCTATCCGGAATGCGAGAGGTATCACGCCGTATTTGAAGGCGTTTTCAAATATGCCAAGTTCCGATACCCGGATTATCGTTTTGCATAGTTCATATTCTTTTGTTATATTCTGTGCCACTTGTTTATTTTTAATCCTCGTAGAAAAACCACCCATTTGCTAAATACAATTCTAGCAGAAGCGCACTTAAGCGCATTCATGACTGCAAAAATGTTGACGGAAATCGAAAAGGCCAGCGTGCATGAAGGCTATTTCAATTCCAATCTTCCGTCGCATTTCTAAGGCGCGATGATACAACTATTTGAAGTCTCCGGAATGCGTGAGGTATCACGCCGCATTTGAAGGCGTTTTCAAATCAGCCAAGTTCCGATACCTGGATTATCGTTTTGCATAGTTCATATTCTTTTGTTATATTCCGTGCCACTTGTTTATGTTTAATCTTCGTAGAAAAACCACCCATTTGTAAATACAATTCTAGCTGAAGCGCATTTCAGCTATGCATTTACCACTGCAAAAATGTCAAAAGAAATCGACACGCCCAGCCCCAGCGTGCAAGGAGGCTATTTCAATTGTACTCTTCCGTCACATTCTTACGGCGCAATGATACATCTATTTAAACTCTCCGGAATGCATGAGGTATCACGCCGCATTTGAAGGCGTTTTCAAAACAGCCAAGTTCCCTTATCGGAATAATCGTTTTGCATGGTTCATATTATTATGTTTCCATTTCTAACCACTTGTTTATTTCTAATCATCCTATAAAAACCACCCATTTGCTAAATACAACTCTAGCTGGAGCGCACTTCAGCTATGCATTCACCACTGCAAAAATGTCAAAGGAAATCGACACGCCAAGCGTGCATGGAGGGAGGCCCGCCACAAGGGAGGAGATACTGGATCCCTGGTACCGGGGCCCGGGCCCCCGAGGGGGCCCGTGTTACCCGGGGAAAACCACTACGAATTCACATGCAACCCTTTTTTCGTAAGAAAAAGTGGAAAGTTTACCCTAAAAATTCCGCAAAAGGTGAGTAGAGATTCAGAAACACGCTGGGGCACTGTAGAATTCTTCTTAAATTTTCAAAGATGTATACTACTTGGAAAATTTCTATCTATTTTCAAGATTTTCAGTACAGAGGAATATTTTTAGTAACTGCGTTTCATTTTCTTCCGTCGTCAGATGCTAAGAGTCTCCAGTCTGGGCATCCTCGACTTCAATGGCTCATTGCTCAACTCCCTTGCCATAGACAAACGAAGGGGGAGTCCAGGGGGGCATGGCACTCTTAGAACTGACAATAGTATCATATGCCCCCCCCCCCAAAAAAAAAAAATTTCCAGATGTTTTGAATGCAACAATTCGCAAGTATTTTGTGCTGAATGTAGAAAAAAAAACATAATTTTTCCGCAGAAATGGATGGGAAAAATATTTATGGAAGCTTCAAAATGCGTCCGATATTCGTATAAATTCTAAAATTTCTCAGGGGATGCCCCTCGGACCCCCCCCCCATCCCCCTCCGTGCTTGGGGCCCGGACCTTAAAACTGGTACCAGGGCGCGAGATGGGATGTGGCTGGCCTGGGTAGCAAATATAGTAGCAGGGTTGCAGTGTTTCAGTTTTAGAGTCCCCAAATAAAGTGGCAGCTTTGTCAGTGTATTTCCTCCCTATCTTTGCAAGTAGAGTTTGTCTTGATGATGACGTGGACTCTCAGGATAGCGTGGGATGCCCCGTCCATTTGGCCCCAACTTGAGAGCATTTTTGAGCTTGGGAGTTGATTTCAGAGAAAACCAGTGGCACCATCGTGTTTCTCGCAAACTTTTACATAAGAATCTATGGTCAAATCGCAAATTCCTCACACATTCAACATCTCCATTAGACGTATATATGGTAAATGGAGCTTTGTGCAAGTGGAAAGATGGGGTGTGCTCGTTAGTTGAGGGCCATAAGAATGAATGGGACTTTAAAAGCGCCTGTGGCGTCAGCGGTGAGGACCGGGCGCGACATGAGCGGCGACGACTAGGTCGTCAGTCTTCAACTCATGAGCCCTGTCCACAACACTCTTCGACGGTGAAACTACCAAACCACGTATCTCGGTTTGCGACGTCGCAGACTTCCTGTCATACTTTATTTTTTAAATGAAAAACTACTTAACGTCTAGTCTTGAAAATTTCTGTGATTTTTCCTCTTTGTGCGGAGAAAATTCTGTGAAAATTTCAAGGAATGATCTTGATTTGGTCGACTTCAAAAAAATAAAATGCGAGCGTAGATTTTTAAACACCGCAAACGAGATACGTGGTTTGGTAGTTTCACCGTCGTCTTGTCACATGTCTAGGGCTCACGAGTTAGCGCTCAGTCTCTTTAGATTTAATTGAAAATCCCGCTCTTTTATTTTTTCTAGAGGAACTGTATCCACTTTGTTGTTTCTTATGCAGCTTTTCTTTCTTATACAAAGAAATTGTTGGTTGAATCTGTTTGAAAATTTCACTGAATTTCATCGGCAGCTCAAAGGAATTCAGTGAAATTTGTGGACAGCCTCGTTGAGCGATTTCTCTGAAAAAAATAAATGGCGGCGGAAATGAGGCGTCACGTGGGGCTTGTGATACTTCGGCCGGAAGGTGACAAAATCATCGAGAAAAAACCTGGGGGGGGGCTCAAATATCAACCTTTAAAATAGGGACTGAATCCCCCTGACTTGTGACATATCAAGTCATGGCGCATTTCGAGCATTTACACATATTTTGCACATGCCGGTAAGTCCCTGATACGCAACGAAGGCCAAAAGCTAAAGAATATGGCACGTTGGTCCCGTGTTGTTACCGACAGGGTCTGTTTCAAAGCATGTTGGTGGGTGCAGCCTGGCACCGAGTTGACAAGAACATGGTATTAGCATGGTATTCCAATGTTGGTCTCAATATTTTCTATTCGTCACTGGTGAGCAGTTTGACCAATTTGGTAAAATATTGATGCAAAGTTACAACAAAGTTGCTGTTAACATAGTGCCGTGCTTCACTCACCGCGACATGGTCGTTTCTAGCAGGTGCAGGCGCGTAGTGATTCATATGTCATTTTTTTTTTTTTTTTTTTTTTTTTTTTTTTTTTTNTTTTTTTTTTTTTTTTTTTTTTTTTTTTTTTTTTTTTTTTTTTTTTTTTTCAGAGGAAGCGCTACCGATGGACGATCCATTATTTTACGAAGTCCAAGGGCTTCTGAACATCATGAACCGCAAGGAATGTATCCTTCTTGTCGTCAGTCGCAAATACGTGACACCTTTCACGGTTAAGAGAGACGAAAGCTTCTGGAGAGATGAAATGCTGGGAAAAATTGTCAAATTCTACGAAGGCACACTGGCACCCAAATTGTCGGCCGACATGTTACCGCGTAAGTTTCTTCCCGGGGGGCAGACTTCCTGAAATCCTCCAGCAATCTCCGTAGCTTTATCCAACTTCACCGTAATCTACTCAAAAAGAGTTAATTTTAAAAATACTGCATAGTTGTAGACCAAATGCAGGTGTTGGCAATTTAAATTTTGCAGTGCAGAAGACGTAGTTCCCAGAAGAAGCTACCTATCGAAAATTAGGGCACAAACTTGCCAGTTTATGGGGTACTCTTATAGCCTTTATTGACTGGAAAAAATTAAGCGAATCGCTAGTAACTTTTTTTTCAAAACACCGGAGAGAGTTATCCGTAAAAACCTCCAATTCCGACGTCTTATTCCATTAGATAAAGATCTCTCCTCTATTGATTTTTCCTTCACAGTGAAAAGAAGCAACCCACACTGAAAAAGAAGATTGGTAGAATCTACCATTCCTTCACGCTGTATTTCACGCAACGTCAATTCTGCCAGAAGAAAGGTAAACGCTACTATATTCTGGTCCAGGTAACCATTCCTCTGGCAAAATCGACTTTGAGTTCACGCTGTGTCAAATACAGCGTGAAGGAATGGTAAATTCTACCGATCTTTTTCTTCAGTGCACATTTTGTGGTAATGCAAAATGTAGAAGACAAAGTAACCTGAACGTGCAGTTAATATTATCTGATTAGTTTTTCTTTGGATTATATTGATCGAATCTTTGTATTAATCAAATCATTGTCAAAATCCTCGGGTTGAAAATATATAACCTCGTCAAAAATCAAGAGTGAGCCACCAAAATTGCACCTAGATCACATTAGTAGCTGTCCGGTGAGCTAGCGACTCGCAAGTCGCAACCTCTGAGTGACATTAAGAGAAACTGGACGTATTTCTGTCAAACTACAACGTCAAACTACTACTACTTCTGTCAAACTATGTGCATTAAGACATGAGCCCTGATATCCATAATAATATATAACAGGGCTCACGTCTAAATGCACATAGTTCCGCTTGATAGAAATACGTCCAAATAAGAGTTCATTAATTTAGCGGGACACTTTCTCAATGATCCCCAGATCTCAGGACAACTTACGATTTTGGTCGATTTAAAAAAAAAAAATTAGTCGATAAACTGAATCCTTTTAGTCGCTCCGACCGAAAGAAAGGGATTCAAAGTAACCGAAAGTGATAATATATGCGGAGATTTTTGACGTGAATCGCCCATTTGTGAGGGCGCGTAGCTGCATTCGACCACGATCTCTGCTTGAATGACGAAGCGCCTTCAATTTGGAGACATGCAAACCGCACGTCCATTAAGTGTGAATAATTGTATCATGGTGTTATTACCAACATCATTGCATGCTTTGTCTATGTGAGCAGGAAGTTCTGTTTTCTTACTCTATTGCACCGTAAATGCCATGGCCGCGACCTCTGAGAGGCACCGGGAGAAACAAAAGTGTATTCGTTCAGCAGGGCACTTTCTTCATCCCTACACTGCCGTGTTAAAGAAGAACGCCGCATGAACATTCGAGAGTTGCCAAATATAGAACATGTATTTGTAATGAAGTCTATGTATATTGTTCCTCAAAATTTTCAAATGTTTCAGATGAAATTGCGTACGAAATCGTCTAAAATTTTGGAAAAAAAAATATTTACAATTTTCCCTGTAAAATCGGTTTTTCTCGAAGGAAATTTGGCAACGTCTGAAGGTTCATACGGCGTTCTTCCTTAGCACGGCAGCACATGTCTCCGAGTAACCTCGGTTTTGGTCGATTTGATAAAATAATTTGATCGACAAACCAAGTCCTTTTGGTTAATCTAACCGAAAATACGGTCATGAATAGGTAAGCATAGCCTTGATATCTTTCGTTTTATTTTTATTTATTTTTTTTTTTTAATTTTTTTTATTTATAAATTTTGCTGTGCGAAGCTTTTCGAACCGCAGGATCATCATCAGGCACAAAACCAAAGCACTGTGGAATCAGAATACATGCATAGTTACAGAACTACACGGTGCATGCTACAAAAGTACAAAGCATCAAGCATAAACAAAAATTGAAATAGTATCTACGAGCTGAAATTACAAACATGATAAATTAGAGTATGGACTGTAGGTACTCAAGGAAAATCGGATTTAGCGATCTGATAAAATGTCTATGAAACAAATGAGTATCGAAAATATTGTTGTAATGCACTCTGATGGCATCGAATTTACATTATTAATTACTTATTTTTTATCTAAATAGCAGCGCTTGTCAAATAGAATACTTGGCGCTAAATCCAACTAACAATGGTAACCTTACCGTATTAAATTGGTCACTTTGACCAAGTTGACCATGTTGTGGGTCACAACATCAGCTCAAGATGGTGCCAACACGATCCTTTTTTAGCAGAGTTTTGAGTTTTTTCTGGATGATTGTAACAGCACCGAGTACCCCAGAGCAAAAAGGTACCTGGCTCAATTTAAGTCTTTTCGAGATAACAGGGGAAACCCGCACGTCGGCCCCCCTGATTCCAATTAAACTGCAATTTTTGATCTCCGTACCTCAATCGGTGCATAATAGGACTACCAACTTTTCCACACACACGGAACCGTTAATTGAGATTTCGAAAACGCCACCGACTCGATTTTTCAAAAAACGTGAGTATAGGTACCTTTTGGCTCTGGAGCACCGATGAGGATTCCTTATTATTTTTTAGGTATTCGGAACCTTCAAGTTGCAGCATATATTGCTTACGGTGCCATCAGCGAATTGGATGGGGAAAAAGCTCTCGATATTTATAGAAGAACACAAGATGGTTCAGAAGCGTACGACGTCTTGTGGGACGAGTCTCGAATTCGGATAATGCCACAACATTATCACCTTGTTATGCATCCTAATATCTCAACGAAAGAAAAAGTGAACCAAATCTTGAAAGGCTATTACACGTCCAGGGAAAGATGGAATTGGCAGCAGAGCTCCAGAAAGTCTTTCCTCAATAGGTACCGGTCAAGATCGCTTAAAGTTCTTCACTGAAAAAAAAAAAATATGGTAGATTTTACCAAACTCTGGCAGTGCTCTGAGTATGGTGATACACACCAGACTCTGTGGTAGTATTTACCATATTTTGGTATATATCGCCATATATTATTATCACCAGAATTCTAGTAAATATACTACTGGATCTGGTTATTTTTACTGAACAGTATAATTGAGTAAAAAATTAAGTAGACTTATACTGGATGTTACCATGCTTTTTTTCAATGTTACTTTCAGCAAGATTTTTCGAGTGAATCAAAGTTCCCCCTAAAATTTACTCTGAAGACAAAATAAAGCCACTGCTTTTTTTCCAAAATTAACTCATCTCTTAAGTAGCCAGCCGGCGGGTTGATTGTTGCAATTGATTGAGAAAGCGGTAGACATAGTGCACAAGCAGAAAATGAAGCGATCTTATCGGTAGAAGCGGGTGGTTTCAATGGATAGAGGAAGTAAGTAATAGACCAATTAATTTCAACTTACGAGGAACCCTTATTTATTTATCTCTTACCCTGCTAAAAATGGTGAGTACAAATGAGTAGAAAATCAAAGTCATATGAATAGAATTTCAACTCATATGAATAGAATTTAACTCATATGAGCAGAATTTCTCCATCCAGTTTTCGCCAACTTCTATGACCAGAGATTCCAACTCGCATGAGTTCAGCGTTGAATCTACCGTGTCCGATATCTCAGAAACTATTCACCGCATCAAAAAAATCATAGGAACAAAATGTTTCTATTTTTCAAATTTACATACCATGTCGAAGTCTCCTGGTCACAAACAGCACCTCTGAAAAATGAAAAACATTGAATACATGTGAGTTGAATTTTTCTACTCTTATGAGTAGAATATTCTAGTGATATGAGTAGAATTTCTTCTCATATGAGTAGGATTTTTATTCATAAGTAGGAAGTTCTTTTCATGTGAGTTGGCGAATTCTGAATAGCCTACTCGTCATTTTTAGCAGGATATTAATTCAATTGATTTTTAGGTTCTTATAATTATTGAGGATTATATTGTCTTATCAAGGCTTGTTTGAACGACTACTAGTTAACATTTTTTCTACGTTCCATTTTTGAACAGGTACATAGATATGCATCCGGAATGGACGATCAAAGAGGACGGTGGGTTGACAATTGACCCGGCCTTTCCGTACCTGGCCACATTTCCTACCGCTTATGGGTACGGCTCCCTTCAAGATCAACCTCAGTCACCCCCGAAGCGTCAACCTTCGTCACCCCCGAAGCGTAAACCCTTGAAGCGTCCATCATCCAGAGGACAAGCTGTCTTAGCTCTGGAAGCACCGCAGCCGCCAGAAGTTCCGAAAAATGACTTCAAATCCAAGAGTACAAGTGGATCGAAAGTTGATGTTGATGAAGCTGGTAGTTCGCCGCCGAGAACCAAGACAAGACTGCAAGTCATTTACGAAGTTGTTGCATTCATCCCGAGTGTCGCAGACGCATACCAGTTGAATGACCTATATGTTGATAAAGGAAGGTAATGATTACGGAATATTCCAAATTTAATCTATACTACAGGTGATAGACTTATTCCTTTGGTTTAATTTCATGCAATACATATGTGGGTGGTCTCACGATAATTGGAGTAGTTTTGTCACCGTAACAGACAACACATTTTTCGGTCATATTTTTAGTAGAAATGATAATCATTCGACTTTTTTATCATTAATCTACACAGGGTTACCTAAGTGTTATAACGCTTTTCAAAGATTTATCGCTCTACTTTTCAATTTTAATATATAAATGACCGAAAATGTGCAGTCTGTTACGCTAACTTTTTACCGCGTAACAGACAGCGCATTGTCGGAATTTACACACTATTAATTGAGAAGTAGAGCAATAGATGATAAGAAAGCGTTATAATACGCAACACTTTGAAGATTTATGCGAAAAAATTCGAGTGATTATCATTTCTACTAAAACGAGAACGAAGAAAGAACGCCGTATAAACATTCGAGAGTTGCCAAATTTCCCTTGATAAAACATGCATTTTTGACGACATTCATGCATATTTTTCCTTGAAAATTTCAGATATTTTAAATTAAATTGCGTACAAAATCGTCTGAAAATTTTGGAAAATACTGTTCGCAATTTTTCCAGTAAAATCTGTTTTTATCGCAGGAACCTTGGCAACGTCTGAAGGCTCATACGGCGTTCTTCCTTAGCACGGCAGAATGAGAGGAAGCCTCGTTGGCTTTGTTTTTCTTAACGTTTCTCTCAACGTTTACTCTTATGAAACTTTTGATACCAACAGGACCTTGTTAAAGAGAGACTCCAGGTCCTACTACAAAGTGCAAGGCTCCATGGCGATAAGCCGCGTGAGGAGGTGTCTTTTCATCCTGGGGAAGCTGGGCACAAAAGAGAAAGAAATCTTGCACTCGGAGGTCGTCGACTTCGACGCGAAAGTCTGGCGAAAACTGCAACAGAAACTGGCACATTTCTATTTCAGCACCTACCTCGTCTACCACGCAAATCCGGAGTTCTTCAAGAGTCTTGCCCGCGGCAAAACACTCAGAGACCTCATCGCTGAGGACCCTTTTCCTACGGCGGAGGAGGTTGAGGCTATTGCAAAGGACGCTAAAGATGATAAAAAGGAAGAGGATGTGCGTGATTGAGGAGAAATCTCCCAAAAATGTCAGATTTTAAGGGCACTGAAAAAAGCAAATTGCTGATTTTCCTAACAATGTTGTTGTTCGAAGAAGTGACTGCAATGTTTCAATGTTGATTTTGCAACAAAAAAATGGTACTTTAACAACAAGAAAATGCTACTTCAACCACCCTCATGGTTAAATTAGCTTTCCACTTTTGTAAAATGCACATTTGAAACGTTGCAGTCATTTTTTTTAACAACTGAATTGTTAAATCAGCAATCCATTTTTTTCGGTGGGGGGTAGAGACTCCGACCAAAGTTTATTAACTTGTTGAACTAGAACTAAAAATGATCAAAATGATACCAGTATATGTATAGTTGGCTTTTCCATTTGCTCTGAGGATAGCTCTAAGACAAGCCGAAAAGGCTTTCAGCTGTACCCATTACCTATCTGTGCAAGTAAATAATTAATAAAATGTATAGAACCACGATTCCTATTTTGATCATTTTAATATACGGTCAGGCCCGCCACAAGGGGGATACTGGGTCCCTGGTACCGGTGCCTGGGCCCCCGAGGGGGCCCGTGTTACCCGTGAAGAACCACTACGAATTCACATGCAACCCTTGTTTCGTAAGAAAAAGTGAAAAATTTACCCTCAAAATTTCGCAAAAGGTGAATAGATTTTCAGAAACACACTGGAGCACTGTAGAATTCTTCTTAAATTTTCAAAGATGTATACTTCCTGGAAAATTTCTATCTATTTTCAAGATTTTCTGTACAGAGGGATATTTTTAGTAACTGCGTTTCATTTTCTTCCGTCGTCAGATACTAAGAGTCTCCAGTCTGGGCATCCTCGACTTCAATGGCTCATGGCTCAACTCCCTTGCCATAGACAAACGAGGGGGGAGTCCCGGGGGGCCTGGCCCTCATAGAACTGAAAATAGTATCATATGCCCCCCCCCCAAAAAAAAATAAAAATTTTCCAGATGTTTTGAATGCAACAATTCGCAAGTATTTTGTGCTGAAAGTAGAAAAAAAACATAATTATTCCGCGGAAATGGATGGAAAAATTTTTATGGAAGCCTCAAAATGCGTCCGATATTCGTATAGATTCTAAAATTTCTCGGGGGATGCCCCTCGGACCCCCCCATCCCCCTCCGTGCTTGGGGCCCGGACCTTAAAACTGGTACCAGGGCGCGAGATGGGATGTGGCGGGCCTGTATACGGTACTGCTCGACCAAGAATATTTGAATGTTTGAACAACTGAAAACGAACTACGTGCCTACGTGCCTCACTCCTAGCATGCGTTATCAGGAGGCTCTTTGACCTTAGGCTAGTTGGGGCCGTCCGCAACAAAACGCTAAAACAAAAATACAATTTATTTTGGAATAATCTGCGTCACTTTTTCCTCCTTATTATCAAAGGTAGTACTGTAAGTTGGACGTATTTTTGTCAAACGGAACTAAGCGCACTTTGAGTTGCTTTTGAGGAATTTAGAATGCCGGATAGCGCGTTCTGTCAAACGGAACCAAGCGCCATGGAAAAGCATTGCGAGTATAGGACGGAATGAGCCCGACGCCCGGTTCCGCCGCCAATCAAAGCCCCCTCTACCTCCCTCCTCCGATGGTGTTTAGTTCCGTCTGACAGAAATGCGTCCAGTTATGATATGCAATTTTATTATGTATACACATTACCAGTTGAATAAGCTTTTAAAAGATATTTTTTGTGCAAATAAAGAAAAACATCCTAAATAAACTTTACTCCACCATTCCTTTTTTCTTTCCAAATAATCTAGGATTGTAATTTGTTCTCAATTTTCCTTCCCCCAAAGGAAAATGAAATAAAAAATAAAAATATAGTAGCGCCTCAATTATCCTCGATGATTGGGAGGACCAGAGCCACAGTGGATAATAGAAAATCGCGGATAATCTGAAACTAAGCTGCTTACGGTGTGAAGTAATGGAAAATGTAAAATTTCAAAAAACCCTATTAAAACGATCCTCAAATAATATACAGAATTAAACTGTTATAGTTGAAAATGAATAAAAGAGGAGTATCCATAAGGGCCGTTTTTGGGCCATCCCTGAATTTTCTCTACTCTTCGATTTTTTGTTCATTGAAGGTCGATATTTTACGGAATGCATCATGATTTTGTCATTTTTGTTCTTTTTTCAAGTTTAATACTGCCGTGCTAGGGAAGAACGAAGTATGAACCTTCAGTCGTTGCCAAATTTCCTTTCATAAAACGAGAATTTCCTGGTAAATGTAAGTATATTATCCTCCCAATTCTTTAGATAATTCAGTTCACAATTTTACCTAAAGATTCTGAAAATTCAAAGGAAAATTATTCATAACTTTCATAAAAAATAAGTATTTTATAGAAGGAAATTTGGCAACCCTCGAATGCTCATACGGCGTTTTTCCCTAGCGCGGCAGAATACATATATGGGTCTGAGGGCCGATTGCGGCGAAAAATGCGAGTTTCGTGGGTTTGCGTACGGAAAATTTATGGAAAATTCATGTGCGAAAAAAGAGATCGAAATGCGATATATTGCACGGTTAAGATAGGGCTGTCTTGCCTTGTCGTACTGACATAGTTTCAATAATCAGCATGCAGTTGAGAAAATTTATGTCATCACAACTAAAGTTTATTGTATACCATCTCCTTATGAACGGAAAGATTTAACGCAAGTACCAAGATGATTTCATATGATGTCTGGATAGGAATGCACATAGTAAACAAGTAAGTAGCAACCTTTCGTTTCAGGAACATTGTGCCCAAGCATCGTGCCCTCAGAAATCAGAGAATCATAAAAGAAAACTTACTCACATACGAAAAAGGTACCTAGAGACAGAAGGAATCATGCAAAATCAAGAATGGTCACATTTGGAAGTATTATTCCTCGGGGCATAAAATTGAAAATGTTTCGTGCGTACAATGAGAAAACCATTCAAGAAGTTATATTGTTATTAATTTCAGAAATAATATGACATAGAAAAAGAGACAGGAGCCAGGAGAAATTGAAATTGCAATGCTATTTTGCTCAAACCCGATTCAAAATTTCCAAACGAAACAATAACATAATTATCATAACCTCTCAATGCACTATCTGATGTTTACTTTTTGCAGGCAAAGACCCCCTCGGAATGAGCAGGCAAGATGGCTGCGTGGCGCGACGGGAACTCAGAGCAGTTCGAGCACTCTCTAACCAATACCTACTCTAACCCATCCTATCGTCTGCCGTCTTCCCACCTTATCCATCCAAATATTCATGTTTCCAATAATGTAAAATGAATCAGTGAGTTCGGAAACACTCCAACACGGGTTTTTTTCGATTTTCACTTTTTTTCGGTTTAGTAACACTTATGGATAAGTAGAAGCATCTGCACGCAAAAGGATATTTCGAAATTGCAATCGGAAGTGCTCGAAACAGCGACGGGAAAAGGGAAGAATCGAAGAATTTCATTGGAAATACCAATTTTGGGCCGATCAAGGGAAACGGGTGATTATCCGATTATGCGGTTTTCTTTTTTCGGTTCAGTATACCTTGTGCCAACAAGTTATATAAATATTCAAGCGTTATTCAGGTCAGAAAATATAAATTTTTCAGGGCAGACTATGAAAAATCAGTATCTGAAACTTGGTGCTTTAAAGTCTCTAGAGTACTTCTTGCGTCCTTTGGCATCAAAAAGGATTTTCTTAAACCAACTTCTTCGCCCGCTGCGAAGTTTTAGGTGTTTCCTGAAAATTTTTTTTTCCGAGTTGGTGTATTTTCGAATTCACTGATTCAAATGATTCACTGATTTCACTGATATGTCATCTTAGGCACCTAATGCTATATTTATGCTCCCATATTTCACCCCTTGACGCCTGACTGGTAAAATTCACCACTTTTTGGATCGTTAATCACGATGTACTTTTGTAAGTATAAGTTATCAAAAGCAGGAATGTGCATAGATATTTTTTTAGCAAATTTTTCAAGAAATATGCTAAGTGCCTCGTTACCTTTAACAGGATGTTTCCCAGAAGTTGTACCATTGTGCGACAAAAAAAATTGATAAATTTGTGCGAATGCTGAGTTAAATTTTTAGCTTGATGGTTCATCTTCACATGGAAATATTTTTGGTAGAATTATAAATTCCACAATGAAAGTCTGGCAACAGAGCTAATTTAGCAAAAGCCCTCA